GGGTCACCAGACTCCCTCCCTGAGATCTTTCTGTGTACTGGAAAGACAATGTGTAAATAAATAAATAAGAGAGAGAACGGAAACACAGCAATTTATTACATTGGCAATAAATTGTAAATTCTTCAGATGCTTGCAAAGTCCTCTATATTTCTTTGGATTAGTTAATCAAGGCTGCATGGATATTTTTCTTCATGATTGTCAGAAATCCTTCTGAAATTGCTTTTCCCGTTCATCTTCTCTGCTCTATCACACCACTTCTGAGACTATCTGACAGAATAAAGTGGTGTGAACACTTGGAAGCTTAATTAATTCCTAAGTGTGTCAACCCCCAGCTTGCAAGTTAGACTATCTCCTATTCATGGTTCTCCACCGTGACAAGGAAACTAGGACAAAGTGTTTCTGATTAAACAGGACTTTTGATTGATTGGGATCAGTAAAGAAACAACATTATCCCTTTCATTAGACCTCCATGAATTTTTAGTTAGAAATAGAATCTTTCACACAATACTATAATAGTTTAAGTAGAATAAACACTAGACAATAAAGTCAGTGGCTCAAACTCACCCAGCTGCTTCTCTGAAACCCTATACAGGGTTAACAACAACAACAACAACAGAATAGTTTTATTCTTACTGTTGTTGTTGTTGTTATTTGCTCTTGAGTCGATTCCAACTCACAGCAACCTTGTATAGGGTTTCTGAGGCTATAAATCTTTGCAGGAGCAGAAAACTTCATTTTTCTCCCATAGAGAGGCTGGTGGGCTCAAATAGCCAACCTTGTGGATCAAAGGCCAGTGTTTATCATACAGAGTTATGTTTATTTGGGGCTACCCCATTGTAACAAAATGAGTGTGCTTGTTGACAAAATCAAAACAAAATATGTCATTACTGGAAAAGAACTAGTAGATAAGTATGAAGTGTCAATAATTGTAGCCTAACCAAGATTCATTGAGTGCTTCACAACATAGTTCAGTGAGGACCTATGTTCCACATTATAGATGATGATATGCCAAAACCCCATTTGATGATATTGTGGAATCTGTGGATATTGATAGAATAGGCATCAAAGTTATAAGTCAGGTAAGCACATGGGGAACAGTTAGAAGGTGAAGGTGAACTATCTCCTTGGTTTAAGGTGATGGAAAGAGAGGGCCTTAAAGCTGACAAAATCCAAAAAGTTCAAACCATCCCAGGTAAATACAAGGGGAAGAAAATATTTGGAACATAGAAATCTCCCACCCCAATCTGTTTTTGATTTTTAGAAAGGGAAGGGAGCTCTTCCCTAGGCTTTTTGTGCTTCTCTGTGGCTCTGTGTCCTGGTGTGACGCTGTGTGCTAATGTGTCAGACTACAAAGTCTCTTGAACTGCAAGGTTGGTGGTTCAACCTCACCAGCTGCTCCTTGGAAACCATATACAGGATCGCTATGGGTCAGAATCAACTCGACAGCATTTAACAATAACATGGCTCCGTGGGCTAATGCACTGGACTGCAAGGTTATTTGAACTGCAAGGTTGGTGGTTCAAGCTCATCAGCCACTCCTCAGAAACCCTCTACAGAGTATTTATGAGTATGAATCGACTCAAAGACACTAAATAACAACAATCGTTTCTTGTCACCTCATGTCCACTTTAAAATGTCCACTTGTTTCTCCACTTTAAAATGAGCACTCATTGTGCGGTGGTTAAGTGCTTGGCTGGTAATCAAAAAGTCAACAGTTCGAATCCATAAGTCACTTTTTTGGAAGAAAGATGTGTGAGTCTGCTCCCTGAAAAAAGTATGGCCTTGGGCATCTTATGGCACAGTTACAGGGTTGTTATGAGTTGGAATAGACTCAGTGACAATGGATTCACCACTGCTAAGTATTTGGGGAGAAGGAACATTTGTCTCAGAGCATCATCACGCTTCAAACGCATACACAAGGTAGAAGGCCAGAGCTTAGAAAGAAAATGGCCTGTGTTTATTATGTGCCTGAATAGTTTCAGGGATTTTGAGATTACATAAATGGATTCCCTGAGTGGTGCCGATGACCAGCATGTTCAGTTGATAACCAAAAGGTTGGCGGTTTGAGATGCCTCATAAGAAAGACCTGGTGATTTACTTTTGAAAAAGGAGTCTTTCTAAACCCTCTGAAGCAGATTCTACTCTGACACACATGGAGGGAATCTCCAGGAATGACATGAATATGAACATTGTTGTTGTTATGTGCCCTGGAGTCGGTTCCAATTCCTGTACAGGGTTTCCAACTGTGTATCTTTAAGGGAGCAGAAAGCCTCATTGTTCTCCAGCAGAACAGCTGGTAGTTTCTAACTGCTGACCCTGAGGTTAGCAGCCTGATTGGTAACCACTATGCTACCAGAGCGCCTTGAATATTAGACCATCTTAAATGAAATGGAAATGTTTGGGAAAGGACATGTCTAAAACATGTCATTTTAGGGATAGCATCGAATACATGTGGTTAACATTTTCCCTTTATCTAAGGAAATTATCAAATACTGAGTGAGAGCTAAATCGAACCACACAAGCCTCTCCTTAACAGTTTATCATTCCAGCAAAAGTAATAAAAAAATGCTTCCATTTGTGACAAAAGATAGAGGGGGTTAGGAAATGAGAGGGGGTGGGGTGGACTGGAAGAAAAGAGAGATTCTGAAAATATGCTGTTTGCATTTTTTAAGTTTCTTGTGCTTTCCTGTCTATACCTCTGGGTTTCTGAACGTAAAGAGTAAAAAGCTCCCTTCTGCTGAACTAACAAGATCTTCAAATCCCAAATTGAACAGTTTGGTTTCACTAGTAGCCAACCAAGCCTTCCACAGAGAGGAAAGCCAGAGGGGGCCAATTAGGAAGGACAGAATTAAACAACAACAACAACAACAAAATGAAAGGTCCAGCGGGTGAGTGAGTGACAAAGGAGGAGAATGGCAGCCTGGGTAGGGCTCAGGCCAGCCCTGGAGCTGGGGAAGCGGCTGCGTGGAAGACTGACAGGTGGGTTCTTCACGTGGGTGAGAAGAAAAGCAAGTGCGGTAGGAGGTCCTCAGGCGGAGGGTCGGGTGGTAGTGGGGTGGGGTAATGGCGGGAGATATGCGGAGGGCAGCGCCTAACCCATGCGGCGATGCCTTCCTATCAGGAGGGGGGCAGTACAGGCTGGAGCCCACTGTGAGCAGGGCAGGAGGCGGCCGCGGCGGCTGCAGCAGGAGGAAACGGGAAGGAAGGGAGACGGAAGCGCCCGCTCCCACGCCGGTCCCCGAACCCACTCGCCCGCGGGCCGCTCTCCAGGAATCTCTTCTCTTTCCAAAGCGCAGACTGCTCAGGCCGCCTGCCAACTACAACTGCCCGCCTGCGGAGAGGAGTGTGGTGGGGGTCCAGGCGGCTCCTGACTTTTTTAGTGCCAGAAACCCCAGGATGAGCGGGCACTGAAGCGAGTTTGGGCCACGACAACCCACTAGGAGAAGCGGGAAGAAAACGCTCCGAGAGACGCCCTAGCTGGGTGCACGCGCCGGGCGGAGCGTGCAGGTGGGGCTGCGCACTCCGCGGTCCGCACCACTTGGTCCCCGCCCCGGCCGGAGGATGGGCGCGGGCGCCGCGGGGCCGCGCCCGCTGTTGCCGACCCCGCGCCGGCAGCGATCCAGGCGTCCAGCCCGCGCTCTGCGCTCATGTATGTAGTCTGGGTGCATGCCGGTAGGAGTGAGGGTGCATGTTGGGTTTCTGCGTCGTGAGCGCTGGTACGCATCCCATCACCATTATACCCTGCATCTGTTCAGGAGAGAGCTCCCCCGACCCAAGTTTGTAAATAAGGGCGGATTCGCCAAGGACTGAGGTCTACTGGCCCTGGACTGGGAGTTAGCTGCGTGCAGGGATGACCCCAACACTAATGGGAAAAAGGAAGGGGGTAATAGAGAAGTCCTGGCGGGCGACCAATGTTGAAGACCTTTTGAGCCTGGTTGAAGTGAAGAGGGGTTAGATTATTCACTCCCTGCTGTGTTTTGGGCTCTCACTGCCCCTTTGGGGTTCAGAAACTTTGGGATTGGAGGTCGTGAGAGACCGAAGAAAGCAAGAGAAGATCCTTGGGATCCTGTGCCCAGGAACCCCAACATTCCTGCCCTACTCTCCTTCCTCCTTCCCCCAAGACAACACTTCTCCTTGCTACCCTGGGCTTATCTTCTTCCCTGCCATGATTCCCTGCTGGGCAAAAGCAACTCTCTGGTAAAAGTATTGAGTGCCTTGGCTCATAGCATTGCCCCTAGTCGTCCAGGGACACACAGTTGCCAGTGGCCAATGGCGAAACCAAATTCTCTTGGGTCGTCTCCCTCCCACCCCCACCCTCCAATGCTGCCCAGGGATGGAGGGACCCAGGCTTCTCTTGGACAGAGAAGTCTGGGGACAGGGGGAGGAGAGAGGCGTCTGCTGCCTATCAAAAGGCATTAAAAAGTTGTTGAAAATGAATCACGGGATCCTAGGAAAAGATTTGCATTTTTCCTCCTTCCTCTTTCTTTCTTTTCCCCAATATAATGCTCTAAAGCAAGAGAGGTAGGGTTTCCTTTGTATCTCCGGACACACTCATCTTTTTCTAACTCAACTGCGGAATTCCGTTCAGAACTAGTGAGGTCAGAGCTAGGAAGGGACACACCAGTGCTTGAATTATCTGGCTGGTACCCGTGTTCTACAAGAAGCAATGACCCAGCTCCGGCTGGGTACCGCTGCCAGTCGGGCTGCTTCTATCATGGATTTCCAGCCTCCGTGGACCATCAAAAATACTAATGCCATAAGGAAATACTGTTGGCTGGTATTTTCCTTGGGCATGGCTTCTACAGATCCATGTATAGTTTTTGATTTTCTAAGAAAACTAAGTGGGCGCCCTAGGATGCGCATACCCCAAGCCCCAGATGCCCAGATTTTTAATTTAGAGCGAGGCCATAGTCCGGTAGTGCAGGGCAGGATGAGGGGCCGCCGCTGGCCTTGATGCTCCCGGGCCGCTCGGCTCAGTTGTGCTGCTGTTTTCTCTGCAGGGACGGCGGCTCCCGGCTGGCGGCGGCGCGTTCCCGGGTTGTGAATGCGACTCGCCCCTCCGCGGCGCTATCCGCCCGCCGGGACGTGGTAGGGGCTGCCCAGTTCCAAGGCGATGGCAGTTGGCGCGCTCTCCAGTTCCCTCCTGGTCACCTGCTGCCTGATGGTGGCTCTGTGCAGTCCGAGCATCCCTGTGGAAAAGCTGGCCCAGGCGCCTGAGCAGCCGGGTCAAGAGAAGCGAGAGCACACGTCTCGGGACAGCCCGGGGCGAGTGAACGAGCTCGGGCGCCCAGCGAAGGAGGAGGGCAGCAGTAGCCGGGACTGGAAGAGCAAGGGCGGCCGCGGGCTCGCCGGCAGGGAGGCGTGGAGCAAGCAGAAGCAGGCCTGGGCCACCCAGGGCGGGCGCGCCAAGGCGGGGGACCTGCAGGTCCAGTCCCGCGGGGACACTCCGCAGGTGGAGCCCCCAGTCTCCGCAGCTGCCGTCGCTCAGGACGCGGCGGGCCCGGAACTCGCACCTACGCCTGAGCCACCCGAGGAATACGCGTACCCGGATTACCGCGGCAAGGGCTGCGTGGACGAAAGCGGCTTCGTGTACGCGATCGGGGAGAAGTTCGCTCCCGGGCCCTCGGCCTGCCCATGCTTGTGCACCGAGGAGGGGCCCTTGTGCGCGCAGCCCGAATGTCCACGGCTGCACCCTCGTTGCATCCACGTCGACACAAGCCAGTGCTGCCCGCAGTGTAAGGAGAGGAAGAACTACTGTGAGTTCCGGGGCAAGACCTACCAGACTCTGGAGGAGTTCGTGGTAAGAGGCAAGCACATCAGGGCGAATCACCCGTTCCAGGAAAGTGGGTGGGGGTGCGGATCTGAGGCATGTCTATGAAAACTAGCGCCTATAGCAAACACTGAAATTGTGCCTCTGCCTAACATCTAATACCCAATCTTTTAGATAGGACTGTTGACACCAAGTCCATTCAAACCAACCAGCTGCTCCTAGAAACCGGATACAGGGCCGCTATGATTCTAAACCGGTTCAAGAGCTCTTAACAACAAGGACACTGTAATATCAGCTCAAAAATACACGTTAACCTCTCTGATCTCTTATTTAACACACTATAGCACTATATGAAACTGTACCTTCTTTGTTTGGGTGATGAAAATTTATCTATTGTGTGCTCACATTCTTTTTTATCCGTTTCTTCTCTTTATACACTCAACTGAACAAGACCACACACTCTGTTTTAACTCATGGAAGCTTTCAAATACCAAAGCATTTGTTTAAATGTACTTACTGATCACTCAACAGCTAGAGAAGGAAACTGCTAGGGTCAGAAGGGCCACAGGACACAAAAAGAACCAGTCATATCTTAAGATACACTACTGGCGAGGATATGTCTACTCACCCCACTTTGAGGAACAGGTACATGTCTGGTTGTCAGAGAAAGAGAGTGTGGCCCGGTAACAAGATTTTTCAATACAGGGATAATCTTTTAAAGCAAGGTGGCTAATACATATTAATTCATTTTATATTTGCTATGTTGTTGTTGTTGCAAAGTACCACCGAGTCAGTTCCAACCCATAGCGACCCTGCATAAGGTTTCTAGGAGTGGCTGGTGAGTTTGAACCACCAACCTCGAGGTTCAAACCCACTTTGCAGTTCAGTGCATTAACCCATAGCGTCACCCCAGGACTCCAAAAGTGTTACTAGAATGAAGTCCATAAACACTTATCAGTTGTATTTTTAGCATTAATGTACTACTTCCAATTTTAAAGTGTTATCAGAGAAATGATCAACTTGTTTTTAAACACAAGGTAGTGCAGTTTGGGATGTATTTTTTAGCTAGTAAACTAATTGAGATTGTTCACTGCTATGAGTAGTTATGACTCTAAGGCAGTTAACAATAGCAACATTCATATAAATGGAGTCCTGGTGTGGTATGGTAGGATAAGCACTGGACTGCTAACTGAAAAGTTGGCAGTTCAAACCCACCAGCCACTCCTTGTAAACCTAACATTTCAGGGTCTGTTTGAGTCAGAACTGACTCAATGACACTTAACAACAACATTCATGAAAAGAATGCATTTCCCTAGATTATGTGTTAAGGACATTATGTAAAATGTCCTAAAAATTGAAAGAAAAAAAAATGAAAACCTGTACTAATTGGATGTCAAAAATAATATGGTTGGCATGGAAGTCTCATTTATGCTTAAATGCTTTCATATTTTAGACAAGTAGTTACTACAATATTAATAGCTTTGCCACTTTCTGAATACCTACTGTATAGTAGGTACCAGGTTGGGTTAGACCTCTTGTTGTTTTGAGGAGATTATTACCATTTTATGGGGAAGAGTAAACTAAGACATTGCTGTTGTTGTTAAGTGTCATCGAGTCATTTCTGACCCATAACGACCCTGTATAGGGTTTCCAAGGAGCATCTGGTGAACTTGAACTGCTGACCTTGCGGTTCAAACCGACTTTGCAACCCAGCGCATTAACCCACAGCAACACACCAGGACTCCAAACTAAGACATAGACTGCCTAAGTATCGAATTCAAGACAGCATAGCTATTAAGTAACAAATTCATGTGTCATACTAATACTAAGTTTTACTCAAGAACCCATGTTTTTATCCCCCACACACTACTTGAGACAAAGCCCTAGTCCCACTGAAGCCTTGATTTTGGTAGAAATGTCTAAGACTACAGCTCTGGATCTTCCCAAGACACTGAGGCCTCAGGGGATAAATACGGAACCCACTGGCTCCTCACTAGTAGGCTGAAGAAGTATAGCTGTGAAGTCATTCAAACTCACAATCAGCTAGGTAGGCTCAGCCTGTGGCCTGTCTTTACTGAAGATACATTGTGCTGAACTATCCTTCTCCTCCTGCAGAAAGAATCCTGGTAACAGTCACCAAACATGGGAGGCCTCATCCACAGGGTACTACTGGGATTCTAAAGTGATCCTGGAACCCCACTGGTTCTATGGCCATTTCATTTATGAATTGTAGGCAGGTATTTTGGGCTGCTAACCTCAAGTTCGGTAGTTCAAAACTACCAGCTGCTCCATGGGAGAAAGCTGAGGCTTTCTGTTCCCGTAAAGATTTACAGCCTTAGAAACCCTGTGCAGGGTCACTATGAGTCAGAACCGACTTCACGGTACTTAACAACAACAACATTACTAAACGTCATAGAGCTATAAAGTCAGAAAGGACAGAACTATAGATGGTGCACTGAATGGGGAAAGAATGGTGAGACTGAGTCAAGGACTGAGTATTTCCATTCTAACTTTAGGAGTCCCGGTGGTAATTAAAGCACTCAGCTGTGAACCAAAAGGCCTGTGGTCCGGATTCATCAGCCATTCTGCAGGAGAAAGATGTGGCAGTCTGCTTCTGTAAAGATTTACCACCTTGGAAATGCTACAGGGCAGTGTACTCTGTCCTGTATTGTCCCTATGAGTAGGAATTGAAGACAATGGTGTTTTTTTGCTTTTTGGTTTTTTTTTGAGGTGGGTGGCAGGTTATTCTGGTTTTGCCTCTATCTAGCTACATGAGAAAAAACAACAACAACAACAATTTCCCCTGTGCATTCCTTTTTTTTCTTGCGTATAAGATAAGGGAGTTGTTAAGTGTTGTAGAGTCGGTTCTGATTCATAGCGACCGTGTATAAGGTTTCCAAAGAGTGACTGGTGGGTTTGAACTGCTGATCTTGGGGTTTGCAGTCCAGTGCTTATCCTACAACGCTACACCAGGAGTCTAAAATAAGGGAATTGTTGTTGTTGTTATGTGCCGTGGAGTCAGTTCCGACTCATAGCGACCCTGTATAGGGTTTCCAAGGCTGTAAATCTTTACAGGAGCAGAAAGCCTCATCTTTCTCCCACGGAATGTCTGGTAGTTTCAAACTGCTAACCTTGCGGTTCACAGCCTGATTCGTAACCACTACGCTACCAGAGCTCCTTAAGATAAGGGAATAGGACCACCTATTCCTAAGGCTCATCTAGACTCTAATAAATATCTTGATTCCCAGAATAGAGCTATAAGAATAGATAAGCAGTTGCCTTCAAGTTGACACTAACTTGTGGTACCCTCTTGTAAAACTGAGTTCTATACAGCATTCAATGGCTGATGTTTGGGAAGTAGCTCACCTGGTCTTCAAGTTTTGGATAAACTGGAACCACTAGATGAACTTGAACCTCTAACCTTTCTGTTAACAGTTGAGCGCATTAACTGTTTGCACCACCAAGAACTCCATGGGGCTAGACTGGTTGTTTAATTATTTACAGTTCTTCACTTCAGCCTTAGGAGAAACAGAGCAAACTTTGATAAAAACTTCATAGGTATCAGGTTCTGACAATACAAGACAGGAACCCTGCCCTCAAAGGGCTTCACGTCTACTGGGAAGACATTTCTAGATAATTTGAACACCATACAGAAAATTTTTAGGCAGAGGTGTCATGAGTGCTAGAGGAGTTTAGCGGAGAAGCTGTCCATTGTGGCCTGCCACAGCTTTGTTAAACATTGCTAGTATTGTTGTTGTTAGGAGCACCTATGTATAACAGAAAGGAGCTCTGGTAGTGTAGTGGGTACGAATCGGGCTACGAACCTTAAGGTCAGCGGTTCGAAACTACCAGCTGCTCCGCGGGAGAAAGATGAGGCTTTCTACTCCCGTAAGGATTTACACCCTCGGAAACCCTGTACAGGGTCGCTATGGGTTGGAACCGACTCAAAGGCACTTAACAACAACAACAACAACATGTATAACAGAATGAAACACTGCCCGGTCCTGCGCCATCCTCACAATCTTTGCTGTGCTCGAGCCCATTTCTGTTACGACTGTGCCAATCCATCACATTGGGGTGGGGGGGTGTCTTCTTGTCCTTCACTGACTATCCACTTTACCAAGCATGATGTCCTTCTCCAGGTGATGTCTTGCCATCCCGGCTTCTAAGGAATATAGTTCTTCCAACATAGATTGGTTTGTTATCCTAGCAAGCCATGTGGTGTTTTTTTTTTAAAGTTTTTATTGTGAATTGAGTGTTAGTTTAATGGGAAAACATCAGTTTTACACTTTTCCTATTGTATTTCATTTCATTGCAATGATTACAATCCCCTCCATGCATTCTCATTCAACAGCATTTGCTTCTATTTCCTGTTTTGTTGTTGTTGTTTGGAGGTACACAAAAACACTCAGGAATATATAATTATTTAAACAACTAAAAGGCATGTTCTGTGAGCCTGCCTCCTGGCCTCCAGCACACAGCCTTTCTCTTTCCATGAGTCTAGAGTTCTCAGCTGTTCTATGTCTCCAATCCATGGTACTTTCAATATTCTTCTCTAGCACCATAACTCAAATGCTGCAATTCTTCTAGGGTCTTCCTTAGTCATCATCTAACTTTCATATGCATATGAGCCTATTGAAAATACCATGACTTGGGTCATGTGTATCTTACTCTGCAATTGGATTATATTTGCTCTTGTTGTGTTGTTGTTGTTATGTGCCATGGAGTCGGTTCCTAGTCATAGCGACCCTGCACAGGGTTTCCGAGGCTGTAAATCTTTACGGCAGCAGAAAGCCTCCTCTTTTTCCCGTGGAACAGTTGGTAGTTTCGAACTGCTGACCTTGTGGTTCTCAGCCCGATTCGTAACCACTACGCTACCAGAGCTCCTTGAACACTTTAAAGTTAGGCATAGACCCAATAAAACAGTTCTCTTGAGTATTTTTGAGATGTATGAAAATCTGTTATGAGGTTAAAAGGAGCCTATGGGTGACACAAATGTTTAAGCACATGCATAATTGCCTACTAGCCAG